TAAAAAAATAAATATTAAAAATCTCAGGGTTAATATTGAATTCATAATTCATATAAATTAAATTTATCCTTTTTTCAATAAATATGTTTAAAAACCTCTTCAATTAATATTCGAATATTCCCTAATACTTTAAAAATCTTTGTCCTACTTTAACTGCTTTTAATTTAGGTTTGATTTTTTTTATCTTTTATAGTTTAAAACTGTTGCAAAGTTGTATCTTCCTTCATCTTTTAAAAATTCAGGCAATTTTTATTCATCCGAGAATTGATCTTTCAAAACAGCAGACATATCATTAGTATCTATAAACTAAGATATTTAATTTCATATACCTCATTTTTCAAAGATCATATTCTTCAAATTTTATCAAAATTTTAAGGATTCATTTTATTACCTTTCTGTCTAATTTCAGGTGCAAGCTATACAACTTCAGATTTTCAAAAAGAAATACCATTTTAAGTGTTGTCATTAGATAAATTTTGAAAAATTGAAGAGTATATATAAATGCTTAGTCTAATAAAAATATTTTTGTTAAGTAATATTTATAATAGTTTTAAATTAAAGTGTACTTAAATTAAAAATTAAATAGGAGAAAACAAAATAGTAGCTAATTATTGTCAATAAGCATGACTAAATTATTATTTTAGATTAGTATTTTATATTTTAATTAAATAGTTATAATTAATATTTTATTTGATTTTACAGTCGACATCTTCTCTTGATGATTCAAATTGTGTTAAATTGTGTTAAATTATAAAATTATTTATTTAAAATCTCAGGATCGGGGTATAAAAATTAATATCAAAAATTTATAGTCAAATAAGGTAAATGGAATAAAATTTTATAATTAATATTAGATTATGAAGATATTTATAAATTATTCGAAAAATTAAACAATTATAAATATCAAACAAGTCTAGTTTATTTATTTAATTTAATTAATATAATTCTTATAATCTTTAAATAGATGAAGACCAATAAATGGATTAAAATTTGATGTAAAGGAGAATTATAAAGGAATGCAAAACCTAGTATAAAAATCACTATACTATTAATAGGTAATTAGATCAAGATCAAATAACAGATCAATATATTATTTAGTTTTGATTCCTTAATTTTAATAGAATGATCTTCAAATATGAAGATAAAAGTATTAATAGATAATTAAATTTATTAAAGTATAGATAATAAAGAATAGATTTATGAATAAATGTAGTAAGTTTTATGGCTATTAATAATTATGAATTTTTAAAAAAGAATAAAATCAAATATATATTAAGTATTTTTTGAGAGTAAGGCCTCAAGAATATTAATGTCAACAGGAAATCAATTTTGATAGTTGAATTAAATTATAAGTATTAATTAAAGAATACTTAAAGTTGGAGACAAAGTTTATATGATTCTTTAACCTTTCTAGTTAAAAATCTTGAAAGTTTAAGATATAAAAGGTTGGTAATTGAATATAAAATTAGTTCGATTCGATATTCAATACGAACATGATTAATCAAATTAGCGAAAAATTGATTTCTTTTGAGGTTCTTATTAAAACAAATAAGTAGAATAGTTTTATTTATGTCTTTTTTATTATATTTATTTCTTAAAATTATATTATATTTATTAAATGTAAAATCAGTAATAGCTTAGAAAATGTTGTCCTCATGATTAAAATTCGCTTATTACTTATGTTTGCTTAAGTCAATTTTGCAATAACTTGAGATTTTGTTGTTTTAATTGTACAAGGACAAATCACTTAAATTGTGATCCAATACTAGAAATAAATAATTTATCAGGATATTTACTAGAAATGAATAATGATTGCAAGGAAATAATTGATCATATGAATGAATAATTTTCTAAATATTAAACACTAACCTAAGAACTGTTAAAAGGAATTAGAGATAAATATTTATTGTCTGAATCTCAATTTTAGATTTTAAATGTAACTGATATGAATACTTTATTGAATGAGATGCTATCTATTAGTAAATTTAAGAAGATAGCCTTTTAAGAAGTTGATGCTTTAACTGAAATTTTTGTAGATAAAATAAGAACTGTAATTGATGAATTGAAAATAAACTAACTTAATTATATTAACAGTATTTAAGAATGTTTAGAACAAGCTAATTCATATTTTAATAAAGGTAAAAATCTACAAAAATATGTTTTAGGTTATTAATTATATTAAGAAGATAATTGTCGTGAAGCTATTGAATCTTTTGATTTGGCTTTAATGCTCAACCATTCTCATTTTTAATCTATATATCTTAAAGGTATGTATTTATATTAAATTTAAGGTGAATGCTTATAATTGCTGGATGAATACGATAATTCTACAATTTGGTTTAAAAATGCCTTAAAGATTAATCAGCAACATGTGCCTTCTTTATTTGGAATAGGTAAATGATAAAGTATTTTTAGCATATTGTTTATATATGAAGCATAATTATGATGAATCTATTTTGTATTATAACAAAGTATTAGCACTTTAACCATCAAATCCAAATGCTTTATCCGGAAAAGGTTATTCTAAATATTAAATTTTAGGAAACGTTTTATCCATGCTTGGTTTAGATAGTGAAGCTATTGATTTATTTCAAAGAACTTTATAATACGATCCTTCTAATTATAATGCTTTATGTGGCTTAGGTTACGATAAATAATATTTATAGGTGATATTTTACGAAAGTAAAAAAAATTCGAAGATTCTTTAATATATTACAGTAGAGCAATTGAAATAGATAATAATCAACAAGTTTATGCTCTATATGGTAAAGGATTTAGTCTAAGCGAATTGAATAATTATGAAGAAGCAATTATACTTTTTGATGAAGCATTAGAAATTGATTAACATAACTTAAAGTCATTATTTGGAAAAGGTAATATTTATGACTTAAATTCATTTAGCACATTGCTTAAATAAATTAAATAACTTTTAAGAAGCTTGTGAATATTTTCTATAAGTATTGAGTCTGAATAATAAACATTTTTAATCTTTGTGTGAATTAGGTAATTAAGAATCTAATCTATATCTATAGGGGACTGCTTATTAAAGTTGAATATCCCAGATGATGCTATCTTATACTTTAGATAGGCATTGAATATTCAAAGGAATAATCATCATTTAATGGCATCTATAGGTTACAAGATATTTTTATAAATTATTTTTAGGCAACTGTTTATTGAAATAAGGTCATTACCATGAAGCAATTTAGATGTTTTAGAATGTATAAACAATTGACTCATAAAACATAATATCTGTTGAAGGCATTGGTTATAATTAAGTTCTAATATAGCTGAGGCATTAAGAAATTTAAAAGATTATAAATAATCATAATTTTGGTATGAGAAAGCTTTGTGTTTAGATCAAAAATGTTATAATGTGTATTTTGGTTTAGGTAAGAATATAATTAATAAAATAAGGGGAATGCTTATTTTAACAAGCTGAATATTAAAAAGCTTTAGAACAGTTTGAAGAAGCTTTATTAAAACAGGAAGATGATGTTTAAGCCAAATTAAGAAAAGGTATTATGGCTGATTAGTTTAGGCGAATGTTTAAGTAAATTGGACAGATTTCAAGAGTCAGAGGAATCTTTTACAAATTTAGAACAACATGTAATCATAGATCTTGAATATTGTTTATTTAGAGGTACTATTAAATTATTGAAAGGAAAGGTTGCAACTTAAAAATGTTACAGCATTATGATAGGGCTATGGATTGGTACAATCAGGCACTTGAGAAAGAGAATAACAATATTGCATCCCTCTTTGGAATAGGTATTTTTTTATCACATTTTTAGCCGAATGTTTAAGAATAAAGAAGGATTTTTAAAATTCAATAAATTATTATTAGAAAGTGATAGATTTATCGCCAAATCATATCTTTTCATTATTTGGAAAGGGTAACTTTATTTTGTAACTTTTAAAGGTTATTGTTTATAAATGTAAAAAAAATTCTAGGAATCTATCGCTAACTTTGATATTGCTATTAATAAAAATTCTAATTATTTACCATCCCGTTATGGGAGAGGTAATTATTCTATTAATTAAAAGGAAGAAGTTTAATGATGTTAAGAAAATATAAGGAATCACTTATTAATTTTTAGGAGATCCTTAATTTCCATGGGAATCATTATCAATCTTTAGTTGGAAAAGGTAAATTAATTTAAGTAATTTAGCGGATGATTTATTAATGTTGGGATAATACAAAGGTGCCATTGAAGCATTTAAAAATGCTATTGAACAAGATCAAAACAATAGTACCATTTATTTTAAGATCGGTATTTCAGTATCTACTATTTTAGGTTATTGTTTAATAGTATTAAAAGAATTTGATGCAGCCATTTAATACTTAATATAAGCTTAAAGTTTAAACTAATAGTGGAGTAATCCAGCATTTGGATAAGGTGAGTAAATTAACTATTTAGGTTATTCCTTAATGATGAAAGGAAAATATATTAATGCTCTAGAAAAATATGATTTAGCTTTATCATTAACTCCAAATCATTTCTATTCTTTATTTGGAAAAGGTGAAACTCTATTGATGATGGGTAAATATGGTGATTCTATTAAAACATATAAAATAATAGAATAAATCGATAACAAAAATCTGCAAGCTATATTTAGAATAGGTTTTATTTGTTATATAAAACATTAGGATATAATTTAATATTGCTTGAAAAATACAAAGATGCTCTTGATTATTTTTAAAAAGGAATATCGATTGATTAAAATAATGCAAATTTTTTGTCTGGAATAGGTAACAATTATAATTAATTAGGTGAATGTTTAAGATTGTAAAATGATTACACATAATCATTGAAAAAATTTGATTAGGCTTTGCAACTTAACTAGTAACACAGTTTAGCATTATTCGGAAAATGTACTATAGAAAATATTTTATTTTAAGGTGAAGTTTTAAAAAGCTTAAAACGTCATTATGAAGCTGAAAAATTAAGTAAACAAATCAATTTAAATTCTTAATAACACTTTATAAACAAAGAAATGGGTAAATATTTATTATTAATTAATAAGGGGTTTTCTTAGATATTCTATAAAACAATCAAAATGCTTAGAATTTTCCTGGTATGCCACTTATCTAGATTTCTAGTGATGAATAATGGATAGGCCTTTAAAAATGAAATTAATGAATAAATTGCATAATATTAATTTAACAGATTTTTCAAATTAGAATTTCAATTTTTAAGTTTTCGATATGAATTTTGGATTACATAATTAAATTTATTTTATTTATAACTTTTCATTTTTTAAAATAAATATTTTCTGTAATTAAGGCATTCATCAATTTGAAAGACTTTGCATAAAACACTCTCAATAATTTAATTATTGATTGAATAATTAAGGTTTATAATTAGATAAATTAAATAATATTTATATTATTTATTTTCAATTAATCTAATAAATCAATTTTTTTATAAATTATGAAATATCAATTAATATATCCATTAATATGTTTAGAATTCAGCTTTAAAAAATTAAAGAGATATAACTTTTACTCAGTACTTTTTTATTACTAATGTAATTAGTACCACAATAATTTAAAAATCTCTATCCAATCCTAATTTTTTAAAAATATTATCTAAACTTTATCTGAATTTGGAGTTAAGATACTTCTTTTTTAATTACGAATATAATAAAAAAATTAAAATCTTAAATAACAAATTACATATATTTGGAAGTTCAAAACATAGACTAAAAGAAATCTTCATATGAATCAATGATGATTTTATTATTAATTCTAAAAATTGTTAAATATTCTCTAAATCTTAACATAATATTTATCAAAGTGCTTTTTATTGAACAAAAACCATAAAATAGACGAATAAACATGCATTTTATTTGGTCTATATAAAATTGTTATTAATTTTTTAATTTTAGAATAATTATGAAGTTTTATTTTTATATAACCTTAATTTTATAATTTCTTCCATTAATCTTAAATTTATTTCTATAAAATAAAATGAAAAATTTTTAACACTTCACGTTTTCAAAGCAAAATTGAATTGCTATACATAAGTTTAATAATTCAAATTTTTTGTTCAATTTGTAATAAAATTTATCAATGGCTGTTTTAATTCTGTTTTTTAAGATTTTTCTAAACATGGTGTATAAAGCATAAATACTAGAATATGGATGCTATGTAGACGGGAGAGATTTAAAGTTTTGATTAGATAAAATGCAACCTAATTGTAAAAGATATGCAAATGAATCAGTTTGAATACATTTTTACACAATTTGGATTAATCTAAATTTTAAGTAAAAAATTTATCTAAAACACAACTTTAAAATTCTCTGATGATCAAAATTTTTGAGATTTTTGTTAGAATAAAGTTGAAAGTTGTAAATTTGGTGATTAGATAGTTTAGAAAGAATGGAATAATTAATTCATTTGAATATCATGGAAATTATAACGGCTGATTTTTATTTTTAAAAGGAATGCATCAAGTGGATAAAAGGAAAATGTAAAAAAAATCTTATTTAAAATAAATCAGTAAATGAAATTAAAATTACTTTTTTTGAATAAAAGTTATACTATAGTTCAAGTATTAAAGATTAATAGTTCAAAATTTAACAAATAAAGAAAATTATTTTAAAAGCTATAAATATTGATTTTTTATATAGAATTTTATTATGGTAATTAAATGAAGTTTGATCGTTGTTGTAAATACTTTTATTTTCATTGTTAAATTGATAATTTAGTAAAGTTAATTTGAAAATAATTTTTTTTTTTTAAATAAGATTTAATTGATTGGTGCTCCAATCAAGATGGCTTGGGGGGAAATATAGATGAGTTCAATGCTCCATCCCCAAGTACATCTTTCTTTTGGCCAGGTCCTTTCATAGTATTAAAATTAGGACCCAATGTGAAGGGAGAAAAAATATGAGGACAGGTCCTATGTTCAGGAAAGGATGCTGGATGAAGGCTATTGGTGAAGTATGAGCATAAGTAGCCCATAACCCCTGGGTGTTGAAAGGCTTAACGGACACTGATCATCCTCCTTAATTTTCTAGAACATTCGATTTGGGCCAAAGAAAGAATCCTGATGAACAAGAAGCCTCACACGAACTTTTGACAGTGCCAAGAGAAAAAAAAAGAAGAAGGGAGAAGGACTTATCTCGAGTTAACCCACTTTGCCTTGGGATCTTTTTTTCTTAATAAGAAAATCCATTCCGGGGTCACAAGGCAATGACGGGAGATTAGTCATTTAAAGTTCCAAACAAAGATTTCTGAAAGACACCCCCCCCCTGTGTCGTTAATTGTGAAGGGGATTAATTATACCATTCATAATATTAATATTAATTTGTTTTAATAGATGATATGAACATCATTGTTGATGAGATTTATTTTTTCTTGAATATAATTTGAAGTATATATTTGATGATTGTGAAGATGCTAAATATAGAATTAAATTTGTTTATAATATACTTATAAATAAAGATAAAAAAAATACCTTTAGGAACATACTTAAAATTTAGAAGTTTCAAAGAAATTAAATTTATTTTTACTTAATAATTCATATTCCATTTGTAAATTTCAAATTTATTTGTAAATAATATTAAAGAAATGCAAATTTTAATTAAAACATGAATTTACAAATTATTATTTTGCAAATGTGAATAATTCCTTTCAAATATAAATAAAGAAAGATATAGAAAAATCTGTGTATAAAAATAATGCTATTATTGTAATGGACTATAATATATGTTTAAATAAAAATGTTAGGACATTTTGGTGAAGATTGAAATTTGCTTCTTAATAATTGGTAGAAAACAACTTAATGTGAAGATATAGATATACTAATAGCCAAATCCATTTAGAATTTATATGTGCTACTTTAGTAAGCACAAGCTTTTGTTATAATTTTTGATCTAATTACATATATTTATAATAGAGAAATTGAGTAAAATGTCTAAAAGATTTTTTCTTATTAAGTAATTAATAACAAACACGTCAAATTAGAGTATTTTATATACGAATACTACGATTTTATAAAGTAAATATCTCAAATTGATCCAAAAAACTTATAATTATTTATTGTTTTAGACATGAATTGATTCATTATTTTTAGTTTATTGTAAGTATTTATATTCAAATATTAATAATAATAAATGATAGCTTAAGATAGGCAATCTTAATTAACAGCAAATAATAAGGAATTTAAAAAAAAATCTATTCTTCAACCATCAAAAGAAAAAAAGGAATGAAAAGTTCATCAAAAAAATTTTCAATCAATTTATAAGAGAAATTAGAAAACCAATTTTAAATTAGGATAATTCTTTTTCAGTGAAAATGAATATCGCAAGGTTGACACCAAATTTTTATTGTTTAAATCCTCAATAAAATTTAAATTATAACTTTAAGTTGATTAATAAAAATATTCAATAAAAATATGGATCTTAGAAAAAAATTATTGCAAGACCATTCAACTCAAAATATTAGAATTAATTGTAAATAATAAGAATAAGCAAATTAATTAAATCTGTATTAAACTAGAATTAGATTTCATGATCTTAATTATCGAAAAATATGGTGTAAATATAATAAATAAATAAATCAAAATGATGAATTAAAGTTATAAATCATGTCCAAAGCTTGGTTGAATAGGAAGTATTATTGATAGTTATGTTATGTATCTTAATATGGAAGGTGAAGCACAATATTTTAGGAAGTATCAAGATGAGAGGGCCGAAGTCTAGAGAGTTTTATCACTAGGAGATGAATATAATTTTGAGAAAGCCAAAGATTTATGTTTTGCAGAATTGAGACAATATCAAGAGATTAGATAAGAAGAATATATTCAAGAATTGGATTTCCAATAAATAAGAATAATACGCATTGGTATTCATATTATTTATACAGAAAATTTAATAACGTTATTTGATTCTTTGTTGAGAAGAAAGCTTAAAAATGATGATGCTCTAATTAAAATTATTAAAACTTTAGAATAGCAATTATATATCGATCTGAAATCTTTATTCTAACCATTATCCAATAGACTTAGTATAGTTTTGGGCCGGTATTACTCCTTTGAGAGAATTTGAGAGTATTCCTTGTTTAGCAGCACGATTTTAAGCTCTCCAACATCTGTTACGAGAAATATTAATTAATCATCCATAGATCATTAAGATGCTCATATTTAGCTATTTTATCGATCCATGTATCTGATATAAGTAAATCAGTTAAAGCTTTATTCCTTGAAACTCCACCCCTCATTCTTCCAATAAAGTCTTTTTTTGTTGGCGGTAAAGTTGGCAAAGGTTTAGGATTAAATATATTAATAGTCTGAATGGCACCTAATTAGTCGATAATATTTTTTAAAACTAAATCTGGATTTATTACAAGATCGTCATTAAACAGATAACAATGAATAACACCTCTATCTGGATTTTGCAGCTTCAAGATTATTAATTTTTTGATTAACTTTTGACTTTCCTTGCCAGACGAAGTTCTCAATTTTTCTTCTATACATTTCACAATTAGATTAATATTATATCAAGTTCTTACTTTAATTGATTCTAACCCAAAGACTTTTCTTCTATAACACTGATAACGATTAGTGTTCTTTTTAACAACATTGTAAATTATTTCTCTTCATAATAATAATAATTATTATTAACACTATGATTAATTTAAAAACTATTTCATTCAACAAATTAATATAGTAAATAAGAATGAAACAAGAAAAAAAAATACCAGATTGGTTGTCCTGCTAATTTACAATCTTAATCAAAAATTCGTTTAATCTCTTTAGTATAAACCAATAATTAAAATTGTTAATTTTATCTAAATATTTTTAAAAAAATTCCAAATTGAAGCCTATTAAAATTTATCTTAATAAATTTTTAAATAATTAAATATGAATTAAGACTCCAAATAACTGTTAAATCTAATTGTAAGGACATACTCCTAGAGTAAAAAACATACTATCTTTATTGTTATAATACAGTTTTAATGATGGATGTTAATCATGCTGATGCATATGCAAGAAAAGATATTAAATTAATGGTAAAATAAGAATTTGATTATCTTTTATCAGAACAATTTGTTGTCCTATTATATTAAGGAAAGATCAAAATGAAATTCATTAATTAATTTTAAATACTTTATAAACTAATAAATAAAATTGCTTCAATTTTATGAAAAAGGTTTAATGTTTAATAATAATTGTAATACTTAAGATAATAATTATGATTTTCTTGCAATTCACGATCATTTGGAAGCCTATAATATTTGGAGGAAGCTATAAAAATCAATCCATAACGCTAATTATAGATCTTTAATATAAATAATATTTTGACTCATAATTTGAATATTTTTAAAATTAATAGGTTCTTATTTATCATAAAAAATTTGATTTTTATTCCTAAAATAAAAAAATTTCCTCATTTTTTTAAATAATTAAAATTTTATTAAAGCGATGAAGATAATACCCATTAGCTCATTCCCATCAACTAAGTTTAGCAATAATTTAATCAATTTTTCAAAATTTAATCTTCTTTTTTGAAATTATTAATTCAGTGTTCAATTATTATAATAAATATGAATTAATAAAATAAATTAACACTTAGATTTATAGAAAGTATATCATAGAAATTTAAATAATACTATAGGCCTCAGTATCAACAGAGAAATAAAGAAAATATGGTAAATAATGTGAGATTGATAATAAAGAATTACTGATATTGTTTAAATTATAGCTTGAGACATTTAAATGATTCAAAATAAGTTTTAATTGTAAACTACATTCTCAATATATTTAGACTATCATGCACTATTAAGAAAGTGTGATTATTCAATTAAAAAATTAAGAGAAATAAGGAAAATCTAAACTGAATGATTTACACTTATTTAAATGTTGATATGCAAAATTAGTAAATACTGATAATTAATTGGTGATGTAGCTTATAATTTTATCTAACATTTTAACTTTTAAACCAAAACAACTGTTTTTTTATTCAAATAATATAAATTAAATATACTCATAGATAAAATTGTTTTTAGTCATGAAAAAAATTTGAAGACTATTATCGAATTCCTAAAGAGAAAATCAGTAGCTAAGGAACTAACTAACTTAATATTTTTAGCATGCACTCTCGAAAAAACCTAAAACTCATTAAGACATTTAGTAATCTTATGAGACATTTTTTCTAATGTCTCATCGTATGCTTGTCTGAATTTTAAGACTATATTTCACTATCTATTCAAGTTGGAATACTCTAAATATAGTTTTCACAATTTGGAGCAGAGAGGTTAGTTAAAATTGTAGCAAACTAAAGGTATAATCATTTATTTCATAAAAATTCAAATCTAATAGGGTATATAGAATTAATTTTATAAGAAAAATTATGATAAAAGATTAAGAAATATTTTTTCAACAACTTTATTACTTTTTTATTCTTCTATTGTCTTTTTTCAAATATTTTCTTATTACAGATCTATAGTTTCAATTGCCTAATCTATATAAGAAAGTGCACTTTCTAAATACGTATTTTAAATTTCATATATGTTTTAATAACTAGAAAACATAATGAAAATGAATTTAATCTTTGATATATAATTCAATCTCATTTTTTCTTTAATGCTTATTTGCAATGATCTGAAAATTTAACAAAATATTACTTATTCTTTATTTGGTCTATTAACAATCTTATGCTTTGGATCTACTTATAACTCTTTATTATATTCACCAAACATTCCTATAATACATCATTTTATTCTGATTAATTAGACTCTCAGCTAATATATAAAAATATAACCAAACCTTTACACCAGAATTATAATTAATGGTTTTGATTTATATTTAATGTTTAATCTAATATTTTAATAGCCTCATCATACTTTTTATCTTTCCAATATAGTTTATAACCTAAATTATTGTTTTAATACCTTTTTAACATAATTCTTCTAATATCCTAAGAATAAGTTAGATATTTATGAGGAACTTTATTATGTTATAATTGGTTATTTCTATTAAATTTCTTCTTAGATCCCTCCATCTTATATGATAATATCATTTTTTAAATTTTCTTCAATGAATATATTTCCTTATCTTTTCTTTAATTAAAACTTTCCAAACTTCTTAATAATTCTCCAGATTTCTAAGTTTTCTAAAATGATTTAAATAAATTAAGTCTTATCGTGATTTTTTATTCCATAATTAATTAATTTAACTAAATTAATCAATTATAAATTTATAATTGAATCAATCAAGTTTTGTTTGTCTAGTTAGTTTTTCTAATCCATGAAAGAAACCATATATAATTTTTTATTTTCCACTTTAATAAACTTGTTATATCCATTCATTTACACTTTCGATCAAATACTCCAATAATTGAACAACATTAGATTTTAATTGATGAAGAATTTTTAGAGTTATTCAAGTGATTTGATTTAAGTCATTAAAACAGATTCAACAAATTCTTTCTTTGACTTTTAATTTTCTAAAATATTTTCTGGTGCTTTCTTAAAATTCATCATTATTATTTTGGCTTTTGATTCAAAATTTTTGATACCTAGAGGGCACAAAAGTCTTTAATTTTTGATAAGCTCTTTATCAAATAATTACAAAGAACAAAAAAGATCTTCTTCTTTTTCAATCATTTTTGATTAAATAATATATTATTAATTAATTAAAAATTTATAAATGATGTAAGACTCTTAAATTAATATTATTTAATATAAATATAGTAAATAATCATATAGCAACTAGGATTAAAATCAAAATTATTTATGACTCCCTTTTATGTATTTTTATTGAATTCCAATAAAGACAAATGAATTTAATGCATTTAATAGAAAAAAGACTTGTTGATCAGTCTTATTCTATGTAGTAGCAATTTATGGTTTCTTTTTTAAAATTATTGTATTTCTCATCTAAGAAAAAAATAAAGGATATTTAAATTTTATTATAGAAAGTGTTTATTCTTCTATTTATATTAACAAGTATTAAGATGTTAATTTCATGAAGCTTATTAAACAAATTTTATTTTAACCTACTATTATTTTTATCATATTTACATACCAAGTTTTTATATCATCTTTAGAAATAGTTAAACAATAATATCAAGCTCTTAAACTATGAAAAATTCAATTTAGAGTTAGAAACCAATTTTTTTGTTAATGCTATCAAAGGCAGTCATATCTATTAGATTAAATTTTTCAATTTAGACTTAATTAGTGTATCTCATAATATCTAAACAGATATAAAATTATTTTTAATATTTTATTCGCTTCTAGCATGAAAAAGAATTATCTCCTTAATTTAAATTGAATTTTAAATTTGTTATTGATTTAATTAATTAAATCATCTTGATTTTAATCAGTAAATAAGTTAATGTAAAATTTTATCATGGTGTTTTCTTTGACATATTTAATACAATTATTTATTTTTAAGCAAATCATTATATCGATTAATTTAACTCTAGTAAGTCTAATAACATAATTTAGTTATTTGCATGATTGTACTAACAATACTAAGTTTACTTTTATCTTTAAGAAAGAAAAGAAATAAGTGTTAAAATTATCCTACAAAAATTAAATACTAATTTTTAGTCTAGTGTGAAAATTAATTGAGGGAAATAAAATTATTAAAGGAACAATATCTGTTACTTAACCTTTATTGAATTTAAAGTGATTGTCTAAAATAATTATAAAATGAAAATTTCATTGATACTCCAAATTAATTGATAGACTGATATATGGATTATTGAAGTAAATATTAACTAAAGTAGGGTTGTCCACCAAACTACCATAAACAAGTTAAGAATGTAAAAGAGTTGGTAAAGAGTTGTAGTGCAGCAGCTAAGCTATTTTTCTGCACGAGGTCAGAAATCTTTTAAGGAGAAAGGAAATTAGAATACATAAATTTGAGGATGTGTTAATATGGAGAAAATTTTATTTTTCCATAGTTTTAGTATTAACTTATAATTTTGAAATATACTAATATTTTAAATTTTTAATAAAATATTTTTTTAAAAGCTTTTAGAAAATTAATTCATATTATCATCTAATTAGGCTGTTGAATAATTTGATTAAGCTATTTCAATAAATCCCCAATCTGTAGATATTTATATCGCTAAGGGTTTGATTTTAATTTAGAATCATTAGGAATAGAGTCACATAAATAAGAATAATTTAATGAGACATTATTTAATTTTTTTAAAGTTATTTAAATTAATCTAAATTGTATGGCAGCATTCAATTATAAAGGTTAAATAAATCATAAATTATTTAATAAAATATACACGACATGAATTGTAAAGATATGGTGATGCATCTCTTTGGATCTTTATTTGTTTTTAAACAAATTTTTCTGGTGGAATATTAATATATAAACAGATCCATATTTATAAGTTTATTTAATATCATTGAATAATATTGTTTGATAGGTACTCTATTCTAAGGGTTTGCTTGGTCTAATATTTTTGAAATCATAATTAGTTCTGCTTAATTTTCAGCAAATTGATATTAAAAATTAAAATTTCCGAATTCTTCAGTTTAATCAGTTTCAAATATAATTATACTAAAGGTTAAATTTTCATATCAATTGAGTTTGAACTTTGGTTTATTACTTATTATTTCCTTTGTTTTTATTTCTATCATTTTAAAAATAAGAATTTAGACTAATTTAATATTTTTATTATGTAATTTACATTTTAATTATAACAACCATGGTTATTCTAAGTTTATTATTTTTATAAACTATTATTATATTTGAGAATATGGATACAATATAAAAATGTAAAGTCTTTATGTTTAAATTGATTTAAAGGATAGTGTGTTTTTTACACATTATAACTTATTTTAATTTAGTGTTTATATTCATGTGTGAAAGACGGTAAAAACATATAAAATATTGAATTTAATAAATTGCAAAGATGAAACAGACTTCTTCTACTATTGATATTTCTGAACAACTCAATGATGAAGAACAATAATACTAATCCTATATTAGACAAGAAAGCACTATGGAAAAGAAACATTGGTACTCAATTTCAGCTAATAATCAAATAAAGGGATTTAGTTTATAGGATATATATAATAAAGAAGGATGGCTAATGAAAAAGAGTCCTAAATTACTTGTAGGATGGCAAGTAAGATTAAATTTTATTAATAATTCTTTAGAAACGATACATTAAGATTCACGATGGAAAATTGTCATATTTTAAAGAGTTAGATAAATTTAAAGGGTGTATTGATTTTCACTTGATATCAGTTTCAATAACTCCAATAATGAAGAATCAAGAAATCTGTGAAATTAGGTAATTTATATATTCTATAAAAAAGACTGGAATTAAAAGGAATTAAAAAGATATTTTAATTTAAGAGTGTAGAACGTAAAGAACTAGATGATTGGTATCATTGTATTTAATAATAAATCTAAATTACATAATTCTATCCTAAAATTACACCTTAAAATAATGAATCTATGTGGAGATTTGAGAGAATATCTGAAACTTATTTTAGAAAGAAAGCTGATACTGGTGATATTCTATTATTTAGGTGATTATCCAAATTAAGATTCTTAGGGGCCATTCCTCATTATGTAAACTCCAAAGAGTATTCACTGGAGACAATTTTGATCATGTAGCTTTATTGCTTCGATACAATAATGGAGAGTTATTTATATTTGAATCTGTGGGATAAACAGTAACAATTAATTTTGAAAATATAGGGTGTTTGTCTGACAAGTTGGGACACTTTTATGATAAACAATTGGCACACATAATATTCACAAGTAGTATATAGATAATTAGAAGTAAATAGATCAAATGAATTTCTTGAAAAACTAGAATAATTTGTTAAGGTTACCAAAAATTAAATAATAATATAGGGATCAATTGGCAAAAGATATTAAATGTCTCCTAGTAAATTAATTAAAAGATTTACAAAATCAAATGAATCTATTGATGATCTAGAAAAAGATGATAAGACTTTTTTTTGTTCTGAACTAATTGCAGCAGCGTAATTTACTCTATAAAATTAGTTATAAAAAGACTGGAATAATAGATGCAAATAGATGTGCTGCATCTTATTGGCCAGGTATTTTTGCCTAAAATTCTAAGCTTTAATTAACAAAAGGAAACTTAAAACAATAATATCTCATAGATTTTTCTATATTATGAAAAATATTTATATGGATTATTTAAAATTAATCATTTTTTTATAATAAATCATTCTAATTAAGATTTCATTTCTTCTTAATCTAATCCTGTTTGTTTTAGTAATAATAATTTAAAATATCAATTATGGTTCAATTCCAAAAATACTCTAATTTTATTGATCCAAAAAAATCAATTAAATTTTAAAATTAGAGCATATAATTAATCATTTTATTTTGCTATGAATTTTACCCAAAGAATCATTTTTATCCTAATGTAAAAATAGGATTATTTTTAAATCGTATGGGTTGCTTTATAATTGTTTATGAAATAGTAAGTTATTTTTTGTAAATTTCATATTAAACATTATTTAGAGTTTAAATTTAAATATATGATATTATTAGTAATACTAGAAGTGATTATGTTTAAAGTGTTGTGTAAATTTTTCATTAAGAGCTAGATTATAAAATTTTTGTATATCTAATATTTAATAAATAAAATATTAGTTATAATAACTTTTTATAATCATCGCAAATGCCCTATTGATTATTTTACTATTAAATAACTTTCAATATTATGAGGTAATGTAAATAAAATAACATAAATTAATCAAATATATTAAACTGTATTAAAATAAGAGATAAAATTTATTTGAGTTTTTAGAGATTACCTAAAGATTTTAAACTATTTAATACCAAAGAACCATTAATGAGAGAAATAAGATCCAGAGACTTTGCAATAATAAATAAAGAAATAGATATAAAAGTGGAGTGATAATATTGTTAGTTTTTCTAAAAACATCAATATCCTTTTTAGGTTGTAAAGTTTTTTTTCAATATAAAGTTAAGAAAATGAAAATTCTATATAACTTATTATTTTTTATATTGAACTTACAGTTGATGAAATCAAATTTTCCTTCATATAAAAAGGACAATTATGCTCAACTAAGACTCCATAATAAAATAGATAGACTTTTACTGAAATAACATTTAAAAATTTTACCATTGGACTAAGTTAGGAAAAGAATTAGAACTCAATTTATTTTGAATCTTCTTCAACACTAAATATTGAATATAATTATTAAAATTTAGCACCTATTATAAAATCTAAACAAAATAGGCATCAAGTTTTATTTTCAAAATAAAAAAAAGGAGACTTTAATAATCCAAAAATTTTTTATAAATATTAATTAAAAATAAATGATTTAGTTATCATTTTATAATTTTTCAAATTCTCTTGATTCGATTTCAAGATTTAGGCTGTCGTTAAAATTTAAAAACAGTTCAGGCTAAATGTTTGTTTTTATTTACGAAAAATTATTTCATATAGAAATAAGAAGGGATAAGGAATTCCTTTCAATTCATATGTAATAACTAAAATAAAAAACTTTGAAGCCTTTTTAAGCAAGAGCCTTTTAAGTTTGAAATTTCAATATGCACCTATTCAAAAAAAATGATCTTTTGTCTACATTTAATAAACATTCTTTCTAAAGTTTTAAATTGTTAGATTTCTTGGATTTTTCTTTAGAATGATTAATAATTCTATTATCATATTTTGCTATAAGCCTAATAGGTCTTTCTGGCTTCTTACTATTCGCTCACTTTCTAAAAATGATATTTGATAACGCTGCTTGTTTTATATGCAATAAGGGATATTATCATTAATTCATTATTTAAAATCTAGATCAAAATATTTTTTAAGTTATGTGATCCACATAATTTGTGCTTTTTTTTGTCTAAAAATGAACAGAATTTTCGGGGTAAAAGTTTTATTATACTTATTCGAATATATTATAAATTTACCTAAATAATCACTTTAAAAAATATTTTTTTATATTTACTATGAGTTTTAAAATTTTCTATAATAATTTAGCTTTTTGTAAACTACATTGAGAATATCTTAAATTTTAAATCATCTTTAATTAAATTTTTGGCATTCGTATTCTTTTTTCATTAGCTAAAATAGTAATTTTCTAAAATTTTTTTTATTGTATATATTATTTTCCAGCTTCTTAAAAGAATCTTTAAGATGCTTTTTATAAGAACTCTCAAAATGTTAATCACAAATACATACATTATATTAATTATTATGAATATATGTGTATTTATAATTCAATTCTATTTTTTATTTAGAGCTCTTAAACATTCATCTGAATATTAATCATATATATTACCTTTTCTATCCTTCACCCACTAGTTATTAGAATGAATCTTTAAAGCTTTTTCATAAGCATCCAAGGCTTAATAATATTGATTCTATTCTTGTAAACATAAACCTAAAACCTAAAATATTACATCAACCTTTTGATAATAATGAATGAAAATGATTTGGGTTGATTTTCAGAGATTATTCAATCACATTCATAGCTTCATTATACCTTTTTTATGATAATAATGATGCACCTTCAAATAAAGAAATATGTTACTTTTAGTACGTAATGAATTGCAATGCCTTGGATCTAATTCCAAAGCTTTATCTATCCAAATAATTGCTTCATTATCTTTCCCAAGCATTCTTAAACTTTCCGCTAATCTTTAATTTTAATCATACCTTTAATATATAATGATAGCCAATGCTTTGGATCTGTTTACAAAGCTTTGTTCGCCCAAACAATCGCTTCATTGAATTTATTAAGCATTTTTAAACTGTCCGCTAATAAAATAAAATAGAATCATACCTTTAGTAGATATTGAATCGCAATGCTTTGGATCTTCTTCCAAAGCTTTATCTACCCAAATGATGGCTTCCTTATATTCCCCAAGCATTCTTAAACTTTCCGCTAATCATTAAATTTAATCATACCTTTAATATATAAGGATAATAAATGTTTGGAATTATTATTTAATGCTTCATCCAATATTTTTATAGCCTCTACATATTAATTATCATAATATAGTTAAAATCCTAAATTATTGATTTATTACCTTTTTAATATAATTCTTCTGATTTACTTAGATTTAAGTTAGATATTTAATCAAAACTTTATTCGGTTATTTTTAGATTTTTTTTTTGAACTAAAACTTTGCTCTCTTCCATTTAATTCTGAGTATCCCTTTTTAATTTTCCTTCAATCAACATTTCTGTCTCAAGTATTTAATCGGCATTTTCTAAATTTTTTAATAATTTATCACATTCCTAGGTTTCTTGAAATAATATAAATACCTTTAATGTTCTAATAATCTTTTGATTCTATGATTAATTAATTTTATTAATTTAATCAATAAAAGATTGTTCATTGTATTATTTAAGTTTTTATTGAGTAATTAGTTTTTCTATTTCATCAAAGACACTATATGCAACATTTTATTGTCCACATTACACAATTTCAGTGATCCATAAATTTCCATTTTCAATTAATGAATCTAATTATTTAACAAAATTAGATTTTAATAGATCAAGAGTTTTTAAGAATTGTTCAAGTTATTTAATATTAATAATTATGACATTCTCAATAGATTCTTTCTTTTATTTTTAATTTTCTTCAATATTTTCTATAGTTTTCTAAAAGCTCATTGTTGGAGTCTTTGATTTAAAATTTTCCTCACAGTGACCACACAAAAGTCTTTAGTATTTCTTAAGTTCATTATCACAAACAATCGTTAAGGCTGGAAGATTATGCTCCAAACAATTAAAGAGATCGTCTTTTTCTATTATTTTTGATTAAATCATTTATTATAAATGAATTAAAAAAGTTAATATGGTAGTAAAGTGTAAAATTCATGCCTTTAATATTAATGCCAAAATATGAATAATAGTTTAATGCACTTTATGATATCGAATTAAAAAAGGGATTTGAAATATTTTATTTGTGATAAAACCATAATATATACTTAAAGAATTCCGAAAAGTTCAACTTCTTTATTTTTAATTTTTAAATGATTAAATTAAATTCTATTTATTTTGGAGAGATTCATGTTGCTTTAGGTTTAAAGAATCAAATAAAAAATTTACAAATTTAATTTAATGTAGTAATCTTCAATGATAATACAATCCTTTAAGAAAATCTACATCGAACTTCTGCTAAAACATCTTTATAAATCCATCAAAAATTATTTTTTAGGTCTATTCTTTACAACACTTTTAATAATATCAGTTTTAAGTTATTCTATAATTTTAAGAATAACTTAAAAACTATTTTGTTATAATATTTCAGTTAAGAATTTTTTCTTGTAAAATCTTACAATTGCTGATTGATCCATAAGCGGAATCACAAGTTAAACGAAATCTTTCTACTTAGTTTTTATAACCATTATATATTATTACTAAATTATTTTATTAACATTAAATAATGAGCTAACTATCAAAATGATAAAAAAATTTATTTAAATCAATATAAATATATATATAATTTATTTGAGTCTTAATAATGGATTTTGTTCTCATTCTTATCAAAAAGCTAAAAATAAAATTCAAATTCAATAGATATCATTATTGAGTGAGGAAACCTTATAAAAATAGGTTTAATTAAAAAAATGACTATTTTTTAATTTCTTTGTATTCTTTTTGCTCATATGTAACTATATTAATTTAGTAACAGCCTTCATAAGAAAAAGAGCTAAATAAATATATTTTATATAATTTAAGGATCAATTGTATATTATTATAAATCTTTTTAGTATGAATAGTACTATTTTATGCAATTGACTAAAACAAAAATATCTTATTTTTGAATTTTAATTGACAAGTCAGTATATCAAACAAAAATAGAATCATTATCAAAATATATTTATAAGAACCTGTCTTAATAGAATTGAATACTTAAAATTTCTTCAAAAAAAAAACTTATGAGTATTTTTATTAATTTCAAGTATCCTTTTTTTATCTATTTTATATGTTTCACATTTTTTTCTAGTGTATATTATAAAAATAATAGTTTTATAATTCTTCATATAGTGAATTGATTTTTTAGAATCAAAGTCATAATCAGTAAAGTTGTAATAAAGTAGAAATCTACTTATTCATCTGGATTAAATGTGTAAATATTCAACAAATTATCATAAACGCAATATATATAATAATAAAAAAGTTGAAACTCATCAAATTAATTACAATAACTACCATTTCTAATTTAATTAGTTGTATTTTTAAAGTAGTTCAGTTCAGAAAATTTTCGTCATATAAACCATTATTTTTATCTTAATTATAAAATATTTAAATGAATGATGTTTTTACATTCAAAATACTAAATTTGATAAATTCTTTTTCTAAATCAATGAATGTTTTCAAATCTATTGTTTATTCAGTAATTATGTTAAATAAATATTTTTCAACTATCTGAACTAATTATTTAGAGTATATAAATTGATTTAGATTTCCATCAACTTCTCTTAAATTTGATTTTATAAAATAAACTTTTTTTAAATTATCAATTAGATATCTTCAATTCATCAGAGAAATTTTTTAGTAATAATCATTTTAGGATAGTACTATTTTAAGAAAAATAAGGTATGTGAAGCTATCATGAAAATATTTCATAATCAAATTTAAATATCAGAAAAGAATAATATTATCGATTTTTTTTAGTGATTTAATGGAGTATATTTTCAACATATTATTTATTATATAATAGATTCCTTACTTTAACTGAATAAGGTGATATATAACAGATGATCAAGTTTAGAGAGGTTTTTTGGATTGCAGATATTATATCTATTCCTTATTGTTGAATAAGCAAATTTTCAAATTTTTAGAAAGATTCTAAGGATAGTTATCATTATGGGAATTCACAACCTTATCATAGTTTTATTATTTGTAATCAAGGATATTATGAAGGTTTAAACTTGCTGATAGATATACATTTACTAAAAAGAGTTTTCATTCTATTTTTGGAGAAGGATTGCCAATTGACTCAAAATAATTGATATAATAATTTAATTTAAAAATAAAAATGAGTTTATTTTCAAAATTTATATTAGAATAGTGTTTTGATTATTTAGGTTATAGGTCCAGAAATTATAAAAATTTTTATGCATTTTTAAAACTTTATGATAAATTATTTTATTTTAGTTTTTTTTGTCGTTATATAATTAAATTTTGATTTGTAAATGGGGAAAATAATCAAAACTTCTTTAATCAGATAATGTAAATTGATAGCTATTCTATTATAATTATCTTTAACTTAACTTAAGATAGTTCAAACGCTTTATCTTTTTTTTTATTCTCAAAATACTTATTAGTGATTTTTAACTTCCTAATTATTCACTAATATTAACAAAGCCTCTTAAAAATATGATTAAAGAATACGATTTGAATTAGAATAAAAAGCTAATCTATCATTAATTAAAACTAAATATAAAAATTAAAATAATCATCTAAGCGAAAAATATTTCCTTTAATAAATGTGTTTATTAATTAAAGGGCCAATAAAAATAATAACTTAATTTGGTTATGATATTTAAATTAGCTTAATGAGAATTAGGTCAGGTTTGATAAAAGAGTTAAAATATATTATGTATCAATTAGATTGGCTAAGTAATGTAAAAATCGATATTCAAAAATGTTTAGCATAAAAGTTCAATATTAATTTATTTTTAAACAATATATTTAATATTTCAAATTTTTTTCTAATTTTATAATATTCAAATAATTAATTTCATATAATAGAAATTATTTTATTAAATATATGATAAATCTAATGTTAAGTATGGCCTAGAATCCATGTTATTCTCAAAAGCTATTTTTATTGATAATTTAAATAAATTATGATTTAAATTATGAGATATTCATTCATGAGAGAACATGATACTTTTGAATTAATAATTGCTTAATATAAACAGAATTATATTATTGACGATGTGGATGACTTATCAGGTATTTTCAATTGTAAATTTAAAATGATGTTAAAGTGACATTTTGAAGAAAAATTCTGTATCTATTTGACTTAATATCAAAGAAATCATTAATAGAGTAGCAAAAGGTATAAAAAATAAGTAGATTAAGAACATCAGAAAATATAAAGCAATTAAAATTGAATTATTTACTTAAAAGTTCTTATATTATCTATCATAAAAATATTGCAATTTGATTAATCTCAATTAAAAAATAAAAGTTAATAAACTATATTTGCAATCGCCTAGCTTTAGCTAATCCAAGCATGCACTATTTCATAAAATACTCAGATTACTAGAAGAAATTCAATCAAAAGGATTAACTCATGAATATATAAACATCATAAGGTGACCACCATTTATATTCTTTTGCAATATTAAGTTTTATCCAATCTGATCAAAAGTAAAGAAGAATATGATCAAAATTCAAGTTAAAAATCAAAAATGACTATTATGAATACCAAACTAGAAATTTTTTTGAGATTCAAATTATTGAAAATTTTTTAATACCAAAAAATATATGCATATTTGATGTCTAGAAATTGATCAAAACTATTCTCTAATTTTAAATAAAAATGGGTAATTGTTACATTTTCAAATAGGTATATATTTAATATATCAATTTTGCATTATATTCCTAACTAATTCCTAAAATTATTCTGTATAATCGTCTTAAAATTTGTTAAAATTTTATTAATTTTAAAAATAAACAATTAAGGCTTTAACTTGAGTTATAGGTTAATTTGCATTTTAAAGGCTAAGTTCTAATTCTTTTATCTTTATTTCCTTCTTTTAAGTTGCTTCTCTCAATTCTTCTAATTCTTTTTTTATTTTTAAATAGTCATTATCTAAATTTTCAACTTTATTATTCTGATCTTAATTTAATTGAATATTTGTATCATTATTATTTTGAAATTTTTGATTACTTTAGTTAGTGTTTTGGATAAATTATGGGTTTATTGTTCTGAAATTTTCCTCTCTTATTTACTCAATTAAAGATTTAAATTATTTTTCTTATAATTATAATCTCTAATTTTGATTTGATTCAACTTAATAAAATTAATCTGAAAAGTATTGCTGAATAATTTCAATTTTTTTTTCTAGTTTATCATTTTATAAATTTATAAGATTCTATTATTATTCTTGTAATTATTTCATTTACAAGTCAATAGATTACACTTTTTGATCCAATGTCTATACTTTAAGAGTTTTTTCATTCGATTTTGATTATTTTATTTATTAAATTAAATGTGCTTCCTATTAAAATTGATTTTTAATGTTATTCTCTAATTTAGAAATTTAATCTTATTATTATAAAATTTATTCGATTTGCTTTTCTTTAACTTCCAATCGCTTTAATAATTCTAACTCAAACTTGTTTTATTGCTGCTATATTAATTTTAATGACTCAATACTTTTATCTTTTTCTTTTAATTAATTTTTAATTTAAATTACATCATTTTAAAATAAATCCATTTATTTTTAATATATTTCTTTTTACTTATCTGAATGTTTTTATATTATTTTTTGAATATATTCTTCGTTTATTAATTTGACTTCAACACTTTTGATCTATTCAGATATGAATTTCTCTTTTTCTTCAAATAATAATTTAATCTAATTTAATTATGATTCACTAAAGATTTCTTTTTAAATGCTAGAATTATCTTTTTATAAAGCATCTTAAGTTTTAAGTATACTTTATGTTTATTATGATTAAAAGACCTCTAATTTTTCATTTTTTGGTTAAATCTTTATTTAAGAAGTATTTTCTTTGTCGATTCGAGGGTTTAATTTTTAATTTTCAGATATTTAATCTTATTGATTTGATTGTTAAATTTAAAATGACTCTACTTGTTAATTTAATTGTGGATTAATAGTTTTCTAAGCATTAAAATTTTTTTGTAGTGTTATACAATTACTTGAAACTGATGGAATATTTGTATTTTTACTGATGATTCTATTCAATTAATTATAAACCTATTCTATAGTAGGACGACTAACATCTTAATAACTCATCATTTGTGTTAAAAGTAATTTAAATTCTTATGAAGTATTTAGAGCATAAATTTTAGTCTGAACATAATTTCGGTCTAGTTTATGTTTTTTGATTTTTGAGATTACTTCTTTATAATTTGTTCCTATAATAAAAACTTATGATACCATCAAATAATGCTTCATTTGATAATAATTCATAAAATACGCAACCTAATGCCCATATATCAACTTTTTCATTATATTGGTTACTGTTCTCAATAAGTTCAGGTGCTTGAAATATTAAAGTTCCAACAGACATTGTTTTTAATTCATACGGCGTTGAATTCCTAATCAAGCCGAAGTCAATTAATTTAAAGTTATCTCCTACTTTTATGTAATTTTCTGGTTTAATATCACGATGAATTAATTTTTACTGATGTAAAAATAATATTGGCTGTGTTATCTATTAGCTTAATAAAAAAATAATTACTTAAAAACATATTTTTTCTTTCTATTATATTGGAATGTTCTAAGTGTTATTTAAGTAGTCAAATAAATTTTAAGAACCAACTTCCATAATAACACAATATTTTTATTACCATTAAAATTAATCATATATTCTAATTATGAAAGTGGGAAGTAATTGTTAATTGTTTCCATTTTCATAAGTATTTTGATACTCTATAAGTTATGATAGAAAATCTTTCTCATTTTGTTTTATGGTTGCTTGCAATTTAAGTGCAACCTTTTAAGGATTATTTCCCCAATTATTAGCAATGGCAAGATATGCTTTACCTTCACTACCTGATCCTAGAAGTGATGATACTTAAAACGATCTTTTTGGATATTCCTTTGTTGGGGCTTCAACAATGCTGTTTATTTATAGGTTCATTTCTAATTCTATTAAATTATTAATTATATACAAATTATAATATCTTGAATTAAATTTGAGGATTAATCTGAGTTTTTAATCATTTTAATTTTTAATATGGGATATTAATAGAATATACTAAACATCAATATTAGGTTAGCAAACTTTTTACATAAAATAAATGAAAAAATTCAAAGCATTAATTCAACTTCCAAAAACTATTTTCTTGCTAGTTTTAAATATATTATTAAATTCATTTATTAGAATTCTTTCGCCATAATTGTATCTATATCTATTTACATATACCAACCTTTTTACTTTATTGATTAGATTTACCAGAATAAATTAATGAATTTTTAATCATCCAATTCAAATCAATTTCACAACTTTGATTGAAGCTTCTTACTCATCATATAAACCTCCACCCGATTTATTGACATTTAAAAATAATGTTGGCATTCTCATAAAAATTTTGTCAAAATATCCCATCTTCCTTTTTTCTCTCCTTTCCAATTAAATTTACCAAAATATACTATCAACTTTTTATTCATTTTCATATATTCACCTCCAACTTTTGAATTTCTATCATCACAACTGCTTACTTTAAGTCTAATAATAATTAATTATATCTAGTTTGAGGAGTTTTATTAATGATTAGCATTACTTGCCTTACATTTCAACATTTACTTAAAGATCCTAGATTATTTAAATATGTTATATATATTCTTTTGTAAAATGTGCAAATATTCATTTAGATGGGAAGTTTGTTTTCATTATTTTATATAATAGATAAGGAAAACCAAAAATGCTATTATACTCATTTACTTCAAATTATTAAGCTGTATTTAGCAATAAACAATTGTGATTTAATTTTAATAATAATTTTTAGTATATTTTCATATTTTTAGTTATTTAGATTTAGCAACATCAAAAATGACTTGTACTTTTTAGAAAATTCTGTATTTTTACAATAGAAATAAAAACAATTTTAATAAATATTTATTCAAAATATGTTGAAATTGTATTTATCTACATAACTAGAGTTTAATGAATTAAATAGTATATTAAAAGTAGTATCAAATTCAACTGCCTATCCTTGATATCCCCCTATAACTTTATCATAATCTGCTATAGTATTTAATCTATGTGCTATAGTAATTGATTTAATATTGAGGAATATCTATTTTAATGTTTCTTAAAGCAACATTTGCAGATGCCTCATCTAAAACAATAATTTTTTTTATTCTAAAATTATTCTGGCTAAGCATATTAAGTATATTTACCAACAGAAAAAACACAATTAACATAACTCATATCATCAGTCAATAGACCATTTTACAATTTTAAACATGATTTAATAAATCAGTTTGTTCTAATGCTATCCATAATTATTCATCTTTTTAAATATCATATGATTCTAAGGTTCTTCTTATCGTTCCTGTAAATAGAAAAGGTTATTAAGGAGTTATTGCAACATTTCTACGTAATTTATGCAATCCTAATTTTCTAATATCTAAGTCAGAAATTAATAATCGAGATTCTTGTCACTCTCTATTTCTGACATTCTAACAATTGCCCCTTTTCTTCCAATATATTTCTGCTTTAAATCTCAAATGACAATCCTTTAAGTACCATATCACAAATTTATCTTTATGTCATAAAAACATTTTCAAATGTAAAATTACCATCATTCAGAAAATATTTATATATATTATCTTCTTTTAGATTATGAAGAGGTTTAGGATTTATGACTATAATTCTAAAACATCTATTATAAGAATTCATTTGGGTTTCTTTTATAATTATTGCCTTAAACCCAATTATAAGGTATCATTATAAATAGATAATATTAAAAAACCTTGGAACAATATTGCAATATCACCATAATTCAGTTTTAAAAATACTATTATAATCGAGCGGTTTATGCAATAAATCCAAAAACTTCTAATTTAAATCCAAAGGCTCTTAATGAATAAAAATATGAAGGCTTAGTAAATTACATTTATTAGAAATATCTTAGAATTATACTCTAAACCATTTTTATTACTAATAAACTCTTATTTGAACAATTTTTTAGCATGGCTAAACTTGTATTTATTTATGATAATAATAAAGAAAATCAATATCATTAATATTGCTAATGTAACAAGACCAAATAGGAAATTACTAATTATTTCTTAAACATCCAAACTAACTGAATTTGTTTTATTATCGCATAAAGATAAATCATTAATCAATTGAGAATTTTTCAGCAATGATAATAATTTTAGCATTTCTTAATATACTTTTATGTAGAAGTTTGTACAGAATAAGTATTAAATTACAAAGAAATTATCCTAAAGTAAACATTCCTCAAAGATAATTAGCAGTATTTACATCATCCTTTTAATATTCTTAAAAAAGAGAAATAATTCTTTGATAATAATTATTAATAACTTCAGAGCCAACTTCCAAATGAAAAACTCAAATAATAACTATTATAATGCAAAATTTAAAATATCTATAATAAGTTCTCAAATTTATTAATTTTTATTTCATTACCATGAGGTTATTATCAATTACATTTGTAATTTTTTTTAATAAAATTATGGTAGTTTCGTTACCAGAATAACGATTGGTTTTTTTATCTGGATTATTTAATATCTAATATGAAAAAATGAATTTTTTTATTGCAATGTAAAATGAATTCTTTGCTACGCTAGCATCTACAGCAGAGAAGGGGTAATCTAATCAATAGAGTTTACTAATTGATATATAATGTTCTAGCTAAAGATAATTAAATATAAAAATACAAGGAGCCATATAATAATTTATCGTATGGTCTGCCAATAAAATATTTTTTTAATAGTATCAGGAAAAATAAATCGTCCTTATCCTACTTATGCTTTAAATAGAATTCTGTAATCTGCTTTTCCTCTTAATGAATGCAGATCGCAATTAATTGATTAGTATTGGAATGTTGAAGAAAATCTAAAAGCAATTTGAACAGCGAGACTAGTTAGCTAGTTTTGCCAATTTTATCTAAAGTAGTTTTTGTAAGTTTTTGCCTTAATTAGTGATTAACAACATTTTTTATAATTACTTGATGAATGTTGTCATTTTTTTAATAATAAAAATTGCAAGTAATAAATTGTAGATATAAAACCTATTATTATCTTTTATTATTATGAATGTTTTATTTAATTAAAAATTTTATGTATAAATAATTAATTATAATAGACATAATTATTCTCTTAATTGATAGAAAATTCGATCAATAAGCATTCATAACTTCTGAATTTATTCCGGAATTTTGATAAAGGATTAGAATCTAGAAATCATAATTGTAATAAATAGAAATGTCGTTTAGGCAATTTTTTTCAATTATTGCTTTAGTATTACTATAAATATGAAAAAAGGAGTAATATCCTTAATTAAAATTCGTTTGCTGTCTTCAAATATTACTTAGTATTTTGTAATTCAAAATTTTAAATAGGTATGAGTTTTATATACTTAATTTCATTCACATCTCAAGAAATAAATAATATTACTTCAATGTAATTCTTCTAAATATAATGATTTTATTGGAAAACTTAGTTATTGCTCTTATATAATTAAAAGATATTAACTAAATTCAAATCAGTTTTCTTAATGAATTTAAACTTAATTTACTTTATTTATATTTTTTCAAAAGAAATAAGCAAAATTATAAAAAATGTAATACGAGTTATAATTAATTACCCTTTCTCAGTCAAAATTTTCAATCAAAGCAATATCAATATCAATAAAAAATTATAAATTCAAATAAAGGGTTCAAACTTACATTCAAAAATATTCATATTTATATNTAGTAAATTACATTTATTAGAAATATCTTAGAATTATACTCTAAACCATTTTTATTACTAATAAACTCTTATTTGAACAATTTTTTAGCATGGCTAAACTTGTATTTATTTATGATAATAATAAAGAAAATCAATATCATTAATATTGCTAATGTAACAAGACCAAATAGGAAATTACTAATTATTTCTTAAACATCCAAACTAACTGAATTTGTTTTATTATCGCATAAAGATAAATCATTAATCAATTGAGAATTTTTCAGCAATGATAATAATTTTAGCATTTCTTAATATACTTTTATGTAGAAGTTTGTACAGAATAAGTATTAAATTACAAAGAAATTATCCTAAAGTAAACATTCCTCAAAGATAATTAGCAGTATTTACATCATCCTTTTAATATTCTTAAAAAAGAGAAATAATTCTTTGATAATAATTATTAATAACTTCAGAGCCAACTTCCAAATGAAAAACTCAAATAATAACTATTATAATGCAAAATTTAAAATATCTATAATAAGTTCTCAAATTTATTAATTTTTATTTCATTACCATGAGGTTATTATCAATTACATTTGTAATTTTTTTTAATAAAATTATGGTAGTTTCGTTACCAGAATAACGATTGGTTTTTTTATCTGGATTATTTAATATCTAATATGAAAAAATGAATTTTTTTATTGCAATGTAAAATGAATTCTTTGCTACGCTAGCATCTACAGCAGAGAAGGGGTAATCTAATCAATAGAGTTTACTAATTGATATAATGTTCTAGCTAAAGATAATTAAATATAAAAATACAAGGAGCCATATAATAATTTATCGTATGGTCTGCCAATAAAATATTTTTTTAATAGTATCAGGAAAAATAAATCGTCCTTATCCTACTTATGCTTTAAATAGAATTCTGTAATCTGCTTTTCCTCTTAATGAATGCAGATCGCAATTAATTGATTAGTATTGGAATGTTGAAGAAAATCTAAAAGCAATTTGAACAGCGAGACTAGTTAGCTAGTTTTGCCAATTTTATCTAAAGTAGTTTTTGTAAGTTTTTGCCTTAATTAGTGATTAACAACATTTTTTATAATTACTTGATGAATGTTGTCATTTTTTTAATAATAAAAATTGCAAGTAATAAATTGTAGATATAAAACCTATTATTATCTTTTATTATTATGAATGTTTTATTTAATTAAAAATTTTATGTATAAATAATTAATTATAATAGACATAATTATTCTCTTAATTGATAGAAAATTCGATCAATAAGCATTCATAACTTCTGAATTTATTCCGGAATTTTGATAAAGGATTAGAATCTAGAAATCATAATTGTAATAAATAGAAATGTCGTTTAGGCAATTTTTTTCAATTATTGCTTTAGTATTACTATAAATATGAAAAAAGGAGTAATATCCTTAATTAAAATTCGTTTGCTGTCTTCAAATATTACTTAGTATTTTGTAATTCAAAATTTTAAATAGGTATGAGTTTTATATACTTAATTTCATTCACATCTCAAGAAATAAATAATATTACTTCAATGTAATTCTTCTAAATATAATGATTTTATTGGAAAACTTAGTTATTGCTCTTATATAATTAAAAGATATTAACTAAATTCAAATCAGTTTTCTTAATGAATTTAAACTTAATTTACTTTATTTATATTTTTTCAAAAGAAATAAGCAAAATTATAAAAAATGTAATACGAGTTATAATTAATTACCCTTTCTCAGTCAAAATTTTCAATCAAAGCAATATCAATATCAATAAAAAATTATAAATTCAAATAAAGGGTTCAAACTTACATTCAAAAATATTCATATTTATATTAATATTTATATTTTTTAAAAGCAATGAACAACCTTATAAAATTGATTCTTGAAATATAGAAGATTAATATCATTGACTTATCAATTTGATCTCAATTTAAAATTCTTCAACAAATATAATTATGTTTATATGGTTATAAATTAACCTTTATAATATTTTATGCAAATAGGATATAAATTAATTTAATAGTAATGAGAAAACCTGAAATGAAGTTTTTATTGCCTGAGATTTGCATGAATATTTATTGCGTATAAGAATAAAAACAAACTTAGAAAAAACTATTTGTGATAGAAATTTGCAAGAAATTGATATTGCTGAAAGATATAGATTAAAATATTACCTATTATAGTGCTAAATAAACAATAATAATAATTGGATAGTTATTCTAAATTTGAAAATCAAGATATGAGATAACCTCATTAAAAATATCATAAAATATGAATATAAATGAATAGATATCAAATTCTATTTTTCAAGAAAAAGTTTAGTCTTTTGGAAACTACCCTTTTGATTTAATAAAATTTATAAATCATAATTGAATAAATGTAGTTTAAAAAAAAAAAATTAATAATTTATCTACCTCAATATTATGATCAATTAGGTTTGAAAATATGCAGCTGAAATGATATCTTCAATTTTTATTATTAACATTATCAAGTTGAGAATTCAGATTTGAACAATAAGTAGAATTTTACCTCATTTAGGAATGCTTAAATTACTGATATTTTTAAATCTATCCTCAAAAATATAACATTACAAATATTAAAAGGCGAAGCTTGGGCTATTATTGGCAAAGTTGGTCTTAGAGTCCATTATTTTTTAATGTTTTATTCAAGATTCCTTCATATTAAGGTTCATTCAAATTAGATGCTTAAGAAAAAGGAATGAGTAGCGAGAGATAAAGAAAAATAAAAAAATTCAAATAATTATAGATATAATGCTCTGGTTCAATTTGCGACCTCTTTAAATATGGAGATAATCAAAAGATGGAATCAATGATAAAAACTAAATTTACGAAACATAAAAAAACACAATTTTTTCTAATTTTAATTAATATGCCTATGATATTTTTTGATTTGAAATATTTGTTAATTATTAATAATATATTAGAAAAATGGATATAAAAAAGGAAAATTAAGGAAAAGTCGAAGAATATCGTCAAAGTTTATAATAAGCAGTGCAGAAATAGGATGAACATTGTTATGCAATTGCTATTAATATAGATTGCTCTATATTAGTTGCAGGATGTGATAGTTACATAAAAGTATTTGAATTTAATTAAGGAATCCTTAAATAAGTTTAACTTTTAAATGAACATAAGTATTCTATATTTACTTTGAATTTCATGAAAAGATCGAATAAATTTATATCTGGAAGTAATGATAATTCAATCATAATATGGGAAAGAAATATTAATGATTTATGGATTTGTTAATAGAAACTGACTGGACATACTAGTAGTGTTTATTGTTTGATATTAAACAATAATGAAGATGTTATTGCTTCAGGAAGTCGTGATAATTCTATTAGATTTTGGGTTAAATAGAATTTGTGGAAGTGTACATAGACAATTACAGATCATAATTCAGTTGTTTATGGATTAAGTTTAAATGAACAATAAAATAGAGTCATATCTTGTGGAGAAGATAAACTTATATTAGTGATAGAATAAAAAGAAATCAAAAAAAAATGGTAGGTAATATAAAAAATATAAGTGGATTAATTTGGGTTTAGAATATGCTTTATTGATAATGATATATTCACATTCTAACCTTATGAGAATGAATAGATGATCATTTTTGAGATGAATAAAACTAACTAATTTTATATCAAGACAAAGGATATTCAAGTAAAAGGTGGTTCAGATTATTGTCTATTTCCTTAATAATATATAAAATAAAAAAGTATCCTTGTGAATAAGTACGCTTCAAATTTGAATTTAATCAAGATGAAATAAAACGGTGAATTTATAATTGAGCAATCTATTGAATTTAAAACTTCCGATTTATATGGTTGTATTTCTGATGATGGATAATATCTGATTACTTGGGACCATGAATAAAAAGAATATTAGGTCAGAAAACACATGGAGAAATGAATATAAATATAATAATATCAAATAAATTAATAACCCTTTACTAATATATATATTTGAATAATTTTAAATAAAATTAAAGAATTTGTGAAGAAATACATTTTCATATTATAAACTTATTTTCTATAATATTGAAAATTGGATTAAAGTCTTTTTGGATTCAGTATTAAATCACAAAATTTAAAATTTTCAAACTTTAGAAGAACGTTAAATAAATTCTACATTTGACCATTTAAGAACCAGAAAAATAGAATATAAACAATTTTACTTAATTTTACATCTATTTTATAATAATTGCTCAATCAATAAAATTCTTATGTTGTTAGGGTAGAAAACAAAAAAGCAAATAACGATGCTTCTGGTTAATCTATGATTCAAATTATTGAAGTTGATACTTGATAAGTGCAATCTGAAAATAAATAATAAAAGGCAGAAATCCTTCCCTTCGGTAAGCTTTCCACTATTATGATAATATTCGATTTATCCTTATAATATAGCCCTTACAATCCTCATAATCCATTTTATTCATCCATGATCATTATAATTAAGTTTCTGTTGAATACTTTAAATTTTAAACTTAATGAAGTTAAAGTAAATTAAATCACACTTAGAGCATCAGTCTATAAAACTCTCTTAGTTATATCGTTCTTAAAAGGATTTTCTAACTTATAATTTAACTCCAAGTAATTACTCATATATTAACTTCTAAATTTTAATTAACTAATTAACTATTAAGCGAATAAAAAAACTTAGGATCAATTAGAGAAGTTAAAAGGATTTAGATGCGATATTAACTCTTGAATTCTTCCTCTAACTAAAGAGAAAAAGCAAAGTTTTAGGATGTTTACCTTAGAAGTCCAAAGTCTAATATTTTTTCGCATTAATTTGATATCTTTTATAATCAAAATGAGTCATAATCTACTTTCTGGCTAGTCATTCTTAATCCTAGAACTATAATCAATAGCAAGAATTTCTACAACAAAAATGATCAATAGAGATAATTCAATAGCAGTTGCTAAATGTAATGAATAAATAAAAATTTATGAATTTAAATAAGGAATTTCGAAATTGATTCTAGTCTTGAATTAACATAAAAGTAATGTGACCCCTTATTTTTCTTAAAATAATTAAATTAACTTATATCAGAGATTTAGATTGATCTATAATAATTTACTAAAGTAAAAATAATGAATGGGATTATTCATAAATTATTTAAGATTATCGTAATTAGATTAAATGACATATTGCTTTAAATTCGTGATGATGGTTATCATTAAAAAATAGGAGAAAGGAGTATGGAAATACCATTCATAATTTTTTAATGTGAAGGGAGGCGAATTGATTAATTAAAGTTATACGAGTGCTTCTTTAAGATGAAAGTACAATTGATTAAATATATAATTTAATTTACGGTACATGACTGATTATATGCTTCCTGATCTCTGCAAGCAATCTTGGAATTGAAGATTTAATTGAATTTATAGTTTATTTTTCATCAGTATTTCATTCATTAATAAACGATTTTTGGAAAATCTAAAGTATTTAAATTCTAAAAAATTTCATTTAAAGTAACTTGGAATTGATAAACTATAGTATAGCAAAAAGACAAATAACTTTATTTCTGGTGGTGGTTTACAAGAAGTTATCTGTTGGCTATAAATGAACCAATAAGAGTGAGACACAAACATCATATCTATTTGATTAGACAATTAAACGATGGCACATTTAACATTCTTGCATCATTAAATTGTTAAACGAGAGAATCTTATGGAACTATGACCAATAATGGATAATATTTGGTATTTTTGAATAAGAAAGAAAAATATACTCATCCTATGAGATATTATATAAATGAATAGAAAAATGCAATTATTATTCTTTCTCTTTTGAACAGAAATAATTATGAGTCATTCAACTTTTCTTACTCTTTTTTTATCTTATCAAATTTAATCAAACTCATTTATTATTTATTAAAAATAGCTTTAGTTTATTTGAACTAATTTTTCCGCATTGATATATTCAGAAATTTTAGTTATCTACTAAAATTACTCTATTTTCTTTTCATTTACAATAAATCATATAAATTTTATTTAAATCGTTTTTAGAATTCCTTATCTTTTTCTTGACATAAAAATTTTAAATATTATTATTGATACTGATTTAATGTTTTTAATAGCAAAAAGATTCCATCAAATAATAACTTATCATTAATAATTAGGGTTTATGAAGAAAATTAATTAATTATTAATTGTGAATAAAAATTCTCAAATTTAGTTCTAATTTAGATATTATATATTTTTTATAATAATTAAGTTAATAATATCGGTAAAGTGCATGAGTATTATTTAAAATCTATTATTTTAAATAGAAACCATATATTCTATAAGATTCTTAATTAGATTGTCTAAAAATTTTAAATCACATATATGTTGATATGATGGATAAATAATATCAAAAATTCAATCTTAGAAGAGTAATTACATTTTATTTTTATAAGACAAGATAGCTAATTAACTGTAGACCAAATATGAGATAATTAATTGGTAGGGCATGAGATATCTGATAAAGATGATCTGGCATCTCTAGTTTATCAAAAAGTATGATGCATAATTCTAAAATTAAAACAGTGATCTTGGTTTTCTTGATAGAAAGTAAAATCGATATGATTCAAAATTAGATAAAATAAATATATATTCATGGTTTAAGTCAAACAATAGTTGAATTATATCCAAAATA